CAAACTACATGTAGACGATAGTCCTGATTATGGAAAATACACACCATAGGCAACTTATAAGGATACTTTATTGGTATACTTATACCAAGCTTCTATGCTGTATCTATGCTGTTAATATATTTAGTTGCATCACTGATCAGCTGCTCTAGACCTGAATTTGACTATGTGTGTGAGACAGTATCAAGACTGGCTCGATTATCAGCAACAGCAACAGCAACATTGCCATCTAAGCTGCTGACTTGTTTGCTATGTACGTCTTCGAGATCATTACCTGATTTGAACTAGATAATTCAAACCATTTGTAAGAGGGTGTGCGATTTGGCGAAATGCGCGCATTTACAAGCATTGACACACATCAGACAAACCAGCGACTGTGTCCTGACATTTCATACTGTGTCAGTACATATATTTTGTACGGAATAACTTTGCCATTTATTATATACAAATTTATACAATTGTATGAAATAAATTGAGAGCCACCTGCATCACGATCTCTATTTATATTTAATATGACCAAGAACCCCCAATATTAGTTTGAGTCTCATGTTGAGGTTAGTGTGACCCAACTAATCTCCAGGCGTGTATAACAAACCAGTCAGCAACTAGCAATGTTGCTGTTTTAGTGTTTGAACAATATGGCAGTAACAGTAAACTATTCTTACGTATAAAGCATGTGAGTGAGACTCCAGAGGCTTCCTGGGACAAATTCAGGACTGGTTGCTGAACTGGCTCCTCTGGATTTTCACCAGGTCAGGTTCCAGAATTGGCTTCCAGATCCAGTTTATGTAGAACACAAAGGCCAAAGTCACACTTGGGCGCGGGGGGGGGGGGGGGGGGGTACTGCACATATTATGCACATTAATTTTCCATATACTAAATCAAAATTATTAGCCCTGTTAACTTTCCAGGAAGCATACAGCCTCGGCTGCCATATGCAGGTGCACGTAGGTTAAGTGTCAATCATTTCATACCATGTTCCAATTTATTCCTTGGTCTCTAGAGACAGTAGGAGCAAAGTACTTTGCCCAATAATACATCACCATAGTATAGGCATGTGATTTCCAGTTCAGAATGATAATAACCAGTGTAGCATGATACCTGTTAGAATTCTGTGTCCCGCAATAAACTAGTATGACTGCATGCAGTCTGAACTGAAACATAGAGGAGGCCATTAAAAACAGTCAATATCTTGCCCTATACCCTGACTCACCTGGGAAACTGAATGGTTCATAATCAAGATTTCATTGAAATATATAACAAATTTTTATAATGCTAATTTGAACACTGGGTATTCAAGTATTGTATACGTGTGTCTATGTGTTAGATGTAAATTATGAGCAATAATTGCAAGATTTATTTTTACTGCAAATATGGATACTAATCACTGTGGAACTTTACAGCAATAATTTCATGTTTAGATTGCATAGATTAAGTGGCATTAGTTAGAGTACACGATGTTATAAAGTCCTTCATAAATTGTGTTTTAATTTAAATGATCAGTATGTTTATATGACAAAATATATGTATGTATGAAAAAAAAAACACATGTATATGCTAGTATTTAATCTGCATATGAGCTATCAATCTCAAGCACAAAGTTACTGTGAAACCAGAGCTGTAGGGATCTCAGTCTACTCTCAGTCTGCAGTCTACTACTACTAGTTGTATTGTCAGCAAAACCTTGTTTTTACAATTATGAGTAACTTTGCCAAAAATAAAATCTGAAAGTTACGGCATTCAGGAGTTATATCATGGACCTACATGGGTCCATGGATATACTTATTGAAAGCTGACACATAGTGTTGTTTATATCAACTAAGTTATTTATTTTTTTTCACTTTAATCATCTTGTCATGCATTGAAAGCTAGAAAGTAAGTAATGTTCCAAGTCCACACATACAGAGGTAGCATGAGTAAAATAATGGTCCTATATTTTCAAATGAGTTTTAATTTTGTTTACAATACAACTTTAATCTTTGCATATTAATCAGCTAATTTGCATATCATTACTTCATTCAGCATAGCTGATTTATTTTATTTATTCATCATAAATATATAAATTTACGTGTTTTACTATCATAAAACAGCTACATTTTGAACATTTTAAACAAAAATCATGCTTTAATGATGTGATGTCACAAAGAAGTTTATTATCTTCATAATATATTTCTGAAAGCTTGCTGACCCAGCACAAATACTGTTTGGATATGTAAACTTTATAGTTACATTTGAATCCAGTCTTTTGTTATTTTTTTTATATATACAAATAATAAAAACTTAATTTGTATGACAATAAATAAGATTGTCATTGCTTCTGTTTTTTATTTTGAAATTCTTTACAAAATACAGACAATTATATCACTGAAGATGAGTATTGTGTAACTTCATTAGCCTAAAAAATGTGATGTGTTCATCTTTGCTAATGCCTAGACATAATGCTTATAAGTCTAATGACACATTTATGCAAATGTTGCACACCTTGGGCGTCACTGAACTCTATGACGCCTGATTATGTAATTAGTCAGTATGAATTCCCCCATGTCATGCATCTCCAGGTGATCAAGACTGCCTCCATTGACATTTTTCAATCAACCAATCAAATTGGTGGCTGAGATTAGATATTACTAGTATCATACCTAGGCCTACGTTGACGGCATTTTCAATCACCCAATTAAATTTACGATTAATATGTGACCGCAATGAAATATTACTAGTATCATACCTAGGCCTATGTTGACGGCAATTTCAATCAACCCAATCAAATTTACGACCAATAGGTGACCGCTATGAAATATTACTAGTATCTACCTAAGCCTATGTTGATGGCATTCATTTTCAATCAACCAATTAAATTTACGACCAATAGGTGACCGCTATGAAATATTACTAGTATCATACCTAGGCCTATGTTGACGGCATTTTCAATCACCCAATCAAATTTACGACCAATAGGTGACCGCGATGAGATATTACTAGTATCATACCTAGGCCTATGTTGACGGCATTTTCAATCACCCAATCAAATTTACGACCAATAGGTGACCGCGATGAGATATTACTAGTATCATACCTA